GCTGCTGCTGCTGCCGGCGCTGCAGCAGCTGCTGCTGCCGCGGGACTTAGCAGCAGCAGGCTTTTCTCGTGGGGGCTGTCTCTTTGTTTGTCTCTTTGTTTATCTCTTTGTTTGTCTCTTTCTTTATCTCTTTCTTTATCTCTTTCTTTATCTCTTTCTTTATCTCTTTCTTTATCTCTGCTGCGGGTCCTGCGGGTGCTTACATTTATATTAGTGTTAATTGTATTGATATTAGTGTTGGGCTGGCCGCTGCTGCTGCTGCTGCTGCTGCTGCTGCCCGCCCTCCTCTTTTCCCTGTACTCAATGGTGGGCCTGTAGTCCCTGCTGCTGCTGGGGCTCCTGCTGCTGCTGCTGCTGTTGCCGCTGCTGCTGTTGCTGCTGCTGCTGCTGCGGTCCGAGGCGAGCTGCCAGCAGCTGCTGCTGCGGCCCGGCTGAGCAGCAGCAGCAGCAGTTGTTACTGCTGCCTGCAGCGCCTTTGCTGCGCTGCTGCACGTACACCAGGCGCTGCCTTCTCTTTCCTGTCTCTTCAAACAAGAGCCAACATGAAATGTCATTTCTTTTTCTTTTTCTTTTCTTTCTTGCAAATCTTTCCCTCTTTGCTCTTCTGCTTCTCTGTCTCTGTCGCGGCCTCTGCTTCTGCTGCTGCTCCTCGTGTCTTGCTGCTTGCTGTCCTTCTGTTTCTGCTGCTGCGCTCTGTGCGCTGCTGCTGCTTGTGCAGCAGCAGCAGCAGCAGCAGGAGTTCTCGCGGCTGCACTCTGCACGCTTTCTCTTTCTTTCGCTGCGGCTGCTTTTCTCCGCGCGGCTGCTGCTGCTGCTGGACCTGCTGCCGCTGCTGCTGGAGCTGCTGCTGCTGCTGCTGGGGCTGCTTCTGCTGCTGTTGGGGCAGCCAAAGTCAAATCTGCTCCCGCTGCACCTCCCCTAGTTTTGGACAAAGAAATAACAGCAACAGAAGCGCTGCGTCTGCCGCCCCTCTGCTGTTCTGGCTTCCCAGCAGCAGCAGCAGGTGCAGCAGCAGCA